GTTTGTCCATTGCTTCAAGTTAACTTACTTGTCATAACCAATCACATTAAGACTCTCCTACCCACAGCAAATATAGGACAGTTTATAATTGACCCTTAAAGAAAGGATAATAATCCTGTAAGTAGTTCAGAATCAATCTGGCCAAGTCATGCCCAGTGTGTGAAGAAGGTGTTTATGGGATACACATACAATTAGATAACACGTTTATTTATAACCAGGCAAATTGACTAAGGGGTTCCTTAGTGTAAAGTGAATGTTCTCAGGTGCCGGCTCTATCGCCAGAAGTTTGATTCTAGGCAGAGATGTCTTGTAGGAAAAGCCTGGTGATCTACTTACAAAAAAGGAAAAAATAAACCATTTAAAAGTCTGTGCAGCACAGTTCCTCTCTGATACACACGGAATCACTGTGCGCTGCTCTGTGGGAACTGAAACTAACTGTCTTAATGAAGATAGACAGATTGGTCTTGTCCTCAGATTTGCTCAACTGAATGTCACTCCCTGAGAAAGCCACCAGGAGCATGCAAGCCAGGTTGCATAACATTAAGACATGTGTTCCAAGAATAGCAAGAAACTCAAGCTTAGTTGACTCATGTGCCAGAGAGGGAACATTTCTTGGTTTTAGGACTGATTATACTGGTTATCAACTCAAGTCCAGTTCTAAATAATCTCCTTCCTTCAAAGGTTGGTTTGAGGTAGCAATATCCCATCTGTATCTGCTGGTCCTAAGAAGCAGATGCTGAGACAGACATGGGTGTGCAAAAAGTTTATTGGGAAGTAACACTTGAGGGAGGAGGGAAAGGAAGGAGAATTGGGCCAGCAGAGCCTCCAGACCCTGGAGTGGATCTGACAAAACGCCAGTGCAGAGCTCCAGAGCATGTTAAAGGAGTCTTGGGTTAAGCCAGGGTACCACAGTCTTGCACAGTTATTGCCTGACGACTCCCCCAGAAGCTAGCACTTCAGCTCAAGTATAGGCGAATGTGAATGAGTTATCAGTTGGAAGCTGTTAGCTAACCACCTTCTTTGCAAGTGGGCAATGTGGCCCGTCTTCAAGAGGAATCTTGAGTGATGTATCTCTGTGTGTGGTGCCTCATACTGGTATCTAGAATTAGAGGTGCAGAGCTCTCTTCCTATAAAGGGGGTGCCCAGGCCACTCTAACAGCCATCCTGGCCTCTCCCAGTAACACATCACTTAAACCTAATTTAACAATGACACTGACACCACCAGGTGTAGGAGGCAGGGGGAAGGAAGCATTTGAGCAGTCGGGAAAACAACTGTAAACCTTAGATCCTGGAGAACCCCATGATTCAAATTAAGAAAGCTCCAAAGATGAGGTTCATCCATGTTACAAGTTTGCCACAGACTGAAAAAAAAAAAAAAAGAAAATGTTGCTTCATACTATCAGTGTGATCACTTGATGAATTCACTCACATAAAAGCACCTGGCACAGAGTAAGTATACGGAGTGAATAATATACTTCTATTTTGATCAACTTGGTAATTTATACAGAGGGAACTCTGGTGGCTTAGTGTTAAGGAGTTGAGCTGTCCACCCAAAGGAACATAGTTCAAATCCACTAGCTGTTTCACAAGCGAAAGATGGGCAATCTCCCTCTGTGCTGAGTTGGTTGCAACTCGATGGTACACAACAAAATAACATTCATTTAATAAATGGCCATTTTAGGCTTGTTATGCCCCAAACACTTAGAATACGTAGTTGATAAAAGTAGCTTTAATCCTTGCCCATCTACATCTTTTTTT